GTCACTGGGGGGTTGTCTGGAGAAGGGGGGTCGCTGAGGAAGGAGGATGAGGGGGCTTTACAGGGACAGGGAAGGTAAGAAAGGTAACAGGGCAGTGAGGGGGCAGCTGCAGCCTGAGGGGTTAGGGGAGAGGGGAAGGAGGGTGGTATGGCTAATGAGGGGAGGGGAGAGTAACAGGGCGGTCCATGGGGGTACTCAGGGTAACAGGACAGGGTCACACTAACATTCCTATTGAATCACCCATCCCATTTTCCATTTCCCCTTGGGTCACAGATTGTGAATGTGGCCACAGGTTCCCTGGCCTCGTCTCTCTTCCCAGGACACCGTTCGCGCCATGCGATCACTGCCTTGGCCTACCACCCAGGGAGATCCAATCTGCTCCTGGCTGTGGGGGCAGATGGCATCATCTCTCTCTATAGTGTGGATTCCGGGAAGCTGCTGACGACGGTGACAGGTGTCTGAAGGTTCAGAGGGTAGCCGAGTTAGTTTATAGAGGATAAACTTAAAAACCCCCAAATAGTCTGGTAGCACTTTAAAGACTGACAAAACATGTAGATGGTATTGTGAGCTTTCGTGGGCACAGCCAACTTCTTCAGACTACCCCCCTTGCTCACCATGTGCCCCAGGTTTGGGCCTTTCCCATGGGCAGAAGTGAATTCATGGTTTGGGGAGGCAAGCCTGCCAGCTCCATCCCTTCTACTCAAGGTCCCAGCCCCACAAACCGGAGCTCTGAAGCCACTGTGCCCCCATAAAAAGTCCCTGAGGGGTCTCTTGGACTGGAGACACCCCCCTCTAGCACCACCAAGCCTCCAGTTCCCTGGCCCCCGAGCACTATGCCAAACCCAGTGCCACCACAGTTTGGCTGGGTCCAGCTGGCATCCTCTCTAAGCCCCAGCTCCTTCCGCCTTGAAGGTCTCGCCTCCTCGCTGAGTCCCTGGCCCCAGCAGTCTTCTCCCAGTGAACCCTCCGCAGTCCTCGGGCTTTTCACATCACTCCTCACTCCCCTGTCTCCAAGAGGAGGGACCTGGTGAGGGGCGGGGGAGAAGTGGAGGAGGTGGTAGAGTTCTCAGGGAAGGGGGCAGCATGGTCCATTGTCCAGCAGTGCCTTCCCTAGCTTATTATACCCACCGCTAATGGCCGTTCCCGTCTCTTCCTATGGGAAGGCTGCGAGGGGTCTCTTCTCCCAGGAGCCCTGGCACTGTGGTGCAGGGGGAATCCCATCCTCACAGGTGACCTTGTGTCTGGGATAAAAGCCTTGCTCATGGCTCTCTTGTGTCTGTCCCACTCCAGAGAAGGAGAATGAGATCAATGCCATGGATTTCTGCATGGATGGCAGCACCTATGCCACAGCTGGCAAAGACCGGCACATTCGGCTCTATGCCAGCCACACCAACCAGGCGAGTGGGGCGGGTCTGGCAGGCAGCTTGGCAGGGGGAGGGGCAGAGAATGGTGTGGAGGGGTGGGCAGCAAGGATTGGGTGTGCTGTCTTGGGGAAGAGCCATGCCTGGGGTTGGGGATGTGAACCCCAACTCTAAGAGATGGGTTCTGTTCACGCCCTAATTCAGAGTATGCTTCCCTCGCTACAGCTGTCCCACATTCTGCAGGCTCCTGACTTCATGACTGGGGACGTGACACCAATCAGTGGCCATTCTCGCCGAATCTTTGCCCTCCGCTTCCACCCTGGGGAGCGCCATGTGTTCCTGACAGGTGGCTGGGATGACTGTGTGAAGGTGAGGCCCTGCATTGTAGCAGGAGGAAGGGAGAGGGCAGCATCTCCTCCCTCTGGTGAATGGGGAGGGGTTCTGGATATGGCCAGTGTTAACTTTATCTTATCTGTGCCTAGATCTGGGACAAGCGGATGACTAAGGAGGCCCAGAGGGTGATTAATGGGCCTCATATCTGTGGCCCAGGCCTCGACATCCGGGTGAGATATGGAAGGTGGCGGTAGGACAGGGATGCAGAATCCTGGACAGGGCTGGTCTGGGCTGCCTTTTCTTGGAGCTTCTGCACTGACCCTGAACCAATAGCTCTGGGGCCAGTCACCTGTCCCCAATACCCCATCTGCCCTTTCCCTCATCTTTGCAGCTCCTGCATACCCCAGAGTAGAGGTAACTTCCCCCGTCTAAAACTGGCTCCTTCCCCCCCCACCCTCCAGGGGAACCACGTGCTTACTGCCTCCTGGGTGGCCCACAATGCGCTTCAGCTCTGGGATCTGCGGACCTCTCAGCTGCAAAAGAACCTCCCCTTTCCTGGGGGCCCCATGCAGGGCCAGTTCCTCTATGCAGCCCGCTTCTGTGACCAGGACGTGGTGGTGGCTGGGGGCAGCGGCACCAGTGGAGCCAGTGCCATCCATGCTGGCACTAACCAGGTGAGCTGGGGGCAGATACTTCTCTGCTTGGGAGGAAAGATATTCCTCACTTGTGGGGAAACCAGTGAGAGCCAGGGGAGCAGGGTTACCTCTTGGGGACTGGGAGTCAATGTGAGACAAGGAACAGAATGGGGGGATGTTTGGGGGTCTTAGCCAGTATGAGCCAGGGGAGCGGGGTGGAGGGATGCGGTGGCATGAGCCAAGGATGGAGGGGCGGGGCTTGGGGAGGCCAGGGATTGGATGGCATGAGCCAGGGCAGTAGATGCACCTCGTGCTCTTTATCCCCAGGTGCTCGGCGAGATCCCGCTGCCCAACAAACCAGTGCAGGCTGTGGCAGTGGGGTC